GCTGGGAACTCGCTGGAGTCGCTTGCGGTCGTGCTGGGAGTTCGGCGATGGGCCTGGCTGGGCGCGACTGCGAGGGACAGCTTGCGGTGGCGATCGGCTGGGCTCGGCTGACTTCTGACGGTGGCAGGTGGTTTCCGAAGGTTGTCGAAGGCGGCGAACGGCGGCGTTCGGTTGGGGAAAGTGACCGGAAATATATATGTATAAAGACTCGAATAAATTGTACCCAAAAGACTTCTAACGGATTACCTAAACACCTACTTCGATTAAACTTCGTGGAGCGTTTAATCGAATCTGCCTAACTCTCGAACAATGCTATTTATCACGTGTATGTAGAAGAGAGAAATCGGCCAACATAACATTGTAGGAGAGATTGGGACATGGTGTATTTATAGGCTCTATTAGGGACCTTAATGAGGTGCTAAATATGGGCTTACTCCATTAGGCCTAGGAATCCTAATTCTACTCCAATACTAATTTAATGTAGGAACGAAATTTCCTACTGATCTCCTCCTTCTAGAAGACTCCTAAGTCTTCTAACACTAGAGAAGATCCTTGTAGTAATATCTTTCCTAATTAAATTAATAATCATGGAATAGAATTAATTCCTAATTTAGGAAGCCTAATTTTACTCAAATTAATAATATAATGTAGGAAATATATTTCCTACTAATCTTCATCTTCTAGAAGACTTCCAAGTCTCCTAATCGCAAGAGAAGATTCTAGTAGGAATTTTATTCTCCTAATTAATTAATTAATATAGAATAAAATTAATTTCTATTTAATAGAATTAAATAATAAAACATCTCACTAGAGTAATATTATTGCTCTCTCCATTTAGCCACTATTTTACCAATAAAATCGAGCATCCATGATTAAATAATATTAATTCGATTGATAGATTTATCTCCCTATGTTTAAGATATAACGTCCGTTGATTAATTAAATTACTCACAAAATAATTAATCAACTTCTTATTCATTTCCGAAATTAGTACCACTCAGACTTTAACCATTATGTCAGACAATCGTCTACCTGCAGGGTTTAACATAATGTTCCTTCCCGAGCTCATTTCGGGGACGTCATCAATCCAGCGCACTGGAACATGGTGACCGTAAATAATTTATAACAGCACATCATATAATTATTCTTACTTACCAAAATACCTCGTATGTCATTCTATTAAAATAGGAATCACTTGGTAAATCAAATAAATAAGAAATAAAAATATATGCCTATTTTATATTATCTTACAGCTTAAGAGAACGCATCAATCACTGAAGGTCTAGGTTACGACAACGGTCAGTGAGTCTAATATCCGTATCCTTCCGTGGTCATGTTTAACACTTAACATAAGTGCTAGTGTAATCCTTCAGTCAAAGACCAACTGAATCGAGAATACACTACAGTCTTTTCCAAGTGGGGTCTCACTGTCAGTCTAGACTGTGAACGAATAGTTTAGTCTTATAAGGAATCTATAGGTGATATTTCTGTTCAAAACTCTTCGTACCACACTACCTCAATATAAGACATGAAGTATGTATTACATAAATAAACAAACTGCAAACATATGTACTTTGACCGAAACATGATTGCCAGATCAAAATGGAATTGATAGAATCTGCAAAACATAGCTTTTACAGCATACCCTTAACAATCTTCCACTTATGCTTTATAAGCTCATGGTTAAACAAACTAACCACAATTTCTTTCAATCTAATTCTCAAAGACTAGTCTACTATGTTGCCCTAA